TGATTCTCCTGGTAGAGAATGCAAAAGTAGTCAGACTTTGGGTTGGCCATGTCCTTGCTCAGAGATGATGTCATGTCCCAGCCATGCTGGAAAAAGTGCCTATAGGTGTGGGCTGGCTGGTGGTGCTCAGATCTGCTTTCTTGTTGAGCCCTGCATTGTCTGGACCAGTTGATGTCTATAGACCTGGCGGTGGATGTGAAGGACCACTCCCAATGACTAAGAGCCATGAAGCGCCATATCCAAGAATGCTTTTTTCCCCTACCAGACCCCAGTGCCTCACTTAGGAGTTACTCCTGGCTCCTTGGGGACTGAATGTCCCATTGTGGAAAGTATTTCTGACATTAGCATGCTCAAGGCCTCACCCAAGATTAGGAGGCTCTTGTGCAACACACAAGTGACATTTCCTGCCCTTGGGGACCTTGCAATCCTCATAAACAGTAGGTGTGAGGGGAAAAAGATCTTATTTCACACAGTGAGCTGATGACCAGGATAGGGACAGGACCCAATCCAACCTCTCCGTCAGTCAGGTCATTCAGCGAGATTTCAGTCTTTTCCAACCTGAATGATTCTGTGATTCTGTGATTTCATGATCTGCTCTCAAGTGAGAAGCTACTTCATGGACCGAAGGTAGGGTCTTATGAAGAATTAAGTAGAAGGCCATTAGCATTAGTCAACACCAGTGACCCAAGCCATGAAAAGGACTGAATGATCCCAAGACTGATATTATCCAAGATAAGGGCTAGGCAAAGGCACCTAGGGGAGCTTCACCTTCAAAGAGGAAGATGAGGCCATTCAGCACACATGAGGCTACTCCAGCCATGGTCTGGTGTCCTTCTCAGCCTAACCAGCAAACGTCATCCTTTCCACAACCCTGTCCCAGTGCTGGCCATACCTGGCTTTGGGAGAGGGAGTAAATCTTTTCAGCAGAAAGGCTATTACAGAGGTCACCGGACGGACCCATAAATCTCCATTATCAGACAGCGGCTCCTGTGCCATGAAACGGAAATTATTGCCCTGAGTGCGACTGGGGGAGCTTTTCCTTCCCCCAGCATTGTTCAGGGTCCTCCGGGAGCTGCTCGGGCAATTTGCTGCCTGAATAAACGTTTCCTTTCCCGGCTGCTAAGTACAAGGAATAAGTGTCAGGGGATCTCATAATGCCAGGATTTAGAGCTCCAGCCCTGAGACAGAAGCCAAGAAAACACTTTGCTGCTTTTTCCTAGGGAGCCTCCTTAATCCCCATTATTAATAACAATGGCAAATTAAACAATCAGTGCACTTGAAGCCCAGTGACCTCCATGCCCAATATAGCTCAGCCTGATCGTGGATCACAGTTCCTGTGGGCTCTGAGCCCTGGGAACGGGCTTGTCTTGGGAAGGACCCTGGAGATATTGCTGTCTTCTCATGAGCACCCAGGCATGGGGAGGGGGTCTTTCCCCCAGCTATGCCCCTGGGGGAAGGAGGCAGGCAGATATCATAACCCAGATCTTCAGAAACAAGCAGGTATTTTGAGCATTTGTGTTTTCTAAGTCTTGGACGCCCACCCATGACAAATTGCATGGCTGCAGCTCTTCAGGTGATACTTTCTCATGATTTTGTGGGCTCTCAGGTTTTCAAGAGCAGCTGGGATGTCTCAGCTGTGTGGCCAGAAGGTCAGCTCAGAAAGCTCCCCTCAGCAACTTCATCCCTGAAGTGATGTTGTGAAATTATTGCACCTCTTTTAGAAAGAAACCCAGTCCCCTGCCTTCCGCTTCTTCACCGGGGCCCAGATGCCCTTTGTTGACCAAAGGGTGTGCACTAAGGCTACATCATCTTCTCTGAGTCATTATCCAGTAGTGTCCAAGACACATTCTTTGCCACCATACTTTGAAGCAGGAGAGAATATTACTCCTCCAGGGGCGATCTCTTGAGGTCAAGGTGCTCCCTGTGCTCTGATGGGCCTTCAGGAATAGTTTTAACGAGGTTGCACTCTGCACATGTCACCTTCTGACTCAGCACTGGGTGGTGCACGCAAGGGACGCACCCATCTGATATTGCCCCACGAGGGCTGCGATTAGGGAGAGCCACCCATTGCGTGGAGCCTCAGTGTGCCCTGGGAACAAAGTCTGTTCCTTCCCCATCTTGAGCACTAGTGAATTCTGTTTATTAATTAGAAGGATCACTTTTGTCTGCAGCTGAAAGGGGGAAATCACACAAATGTTACTACTATGGAAGCAGAAGAGGTTTTTTGGAAACTTAAACCAGTGAAAGTCCCTCAAGAGGGAAGCTCCAGTCTTAATCCCATGGAAAGTGTAAAAAAAATCCAACCCCCAAACAAGTAGTGAAGAACATAAACAAATACAGATGAAAGAGGAGAGCAAAGGGAGAAGGTCTCAACTGCTTTATACCGGGGTTTTAGATGTCTGACTGCAAACCCACAACGAAAATAATGTGGGCAGTGGAGATGGGTGTCACACAAACTTAGAAAATAACGCTCAACGTTCAGTAGCAGATTTGTTTATTGTCAGAAAATAAGACACACTTTGATTTCAACGCCACATCCTCTGTTTCTTTCAAAAACAAAAGTATTCCTGTACTTGACATTTCTTATCATATCTATTTTGAGAGACCTTCTTATGCAAGATCTAGTCCAACTCTTAACATTTCTGAGGGACTGTTAGGAATCTTCTCCTTTTTCTTTGATTAAAAACGTTCAGATTTTGATTTTCTGGTGGAAAAGTCTTCAGGAAATACAGTATTTTTTAATTAGTCACAGACACAACTTGAATCGGTCAAGAGTTTTAATTGTTACCTTTGGACTACCTCTGCTCTGCTAAATTCTCCCCGGATTATGTCAACAGCTTTGTGCTGAATTGTTTTCAAAGAAGGGATTTTCTCACACAACACTGTGAAAATAATTTTTGTTTATCTTTGGAAAATGATAATCAAAAACCTCAACAACTTCTAAGATGAAAAAATAGTGAAATGTTTTTCCTTTCTTGAGATTTTTCAAGGAAATGAGTTCTTTCCTGACCAGCTGTTCCAATCCCTTCTCTTTTCAAAGGAAGTTTATTTGATCTAGATTTTGGCTGTGACTCAACAATGATTTTAAAGGAGAAAGTGAGGCATTATGGTTACAATATCACTGAAACCACGTGTACAAAAATCACCTGGAAGGATTCCCATCTTTCTAAAACCACCAGAACTGTTCAAAGCTGCTGAGAAGATACTGGATTCCTTCTTTTCTGGCTCCAGAGCCCTTGGGTACACTCATTTACTCTTTTCTAGTATTTCCTCATAGTGTAATCTCTTGCCATTTTTAGCCTGGTTTTCCAGGGGGAGTTAGGCTCATGTGAATCTCTTTCTCTGTGTCTCTGTTTACTGGCGCCACTTTAGTAATTTTTTAATCCTTTGGCTGTTTCGTGGTTATGTAGTTTCTTACCGATTTTCTAAAAAGTAGTCTGGAGAAAAGAGAAAATAAGGCTGACGTTTGAACATAACCCTCATTAGATATCAGAGAAACCACATGAGATGGAGATACAAATCAGAAAGAAGCCAAATTTTGTTGGTTTGCTCTTTGGGGAACTATTGTTTACCAGCAGAAGGCCGAGATACTCATAAAACAAGCAGGTGGACAAGCACAAAATACAGTAAGATGCACAATAACATTTTAAGAGTTAAAGTTATGATGGTCTGTAATGGCTGAAGGTCCTGATGCAAACCTCTTGCCATCCTCCAAACATACCCTGTGCGCTGCAGCTTGTTGGAAATTTTTTTCTGCAGCCTGGTTTATCCCCTGCCTACGCTAAGTAATGGAGCCCTGCGCTGTCTCTTGTTTTCTTCTTCTCCCCAGTTATTTTACCATCTAGTCTTTCCTTTTTGGTGCCTACAACATAACACGTCCCCAAGCTGAATTCAATAGCTGACACTCTCCAGGTGGGATCACCATCAGGAATGCACATTTTCGAGTGCCATGCCAGCTGGATGCAGCTATACTTACATCTCAGCAAGGCCTGTTGCTGATGCCTATATTTTATTAGGTGAAGTTCTTGACTTCTCAAGGGCATTGCATCCAAGGGTGAGCTGACCCGTGTCTTGCCAAATGATGATGCGGTTGAGGTGCATTGTCTTGACTTCTGCACCACCTTGCAGATGTTATGGACCTGCTGTAGCCAGAGGGCTTGGACTGGCCCAGCCCAGGGCAGTTGTCCTCACTCTCACGTCACAGTGCAGAATGAACCAGTACGGTGGTGGGTGAATGTACCAAGCCCTGAAGAATGACATCAAGCACAGCAGAGATTTGCATCAAAAGCCGAATCTCTAACACCTGTGGATGCCCAGGGATGTCTGTTAGCTGACGGCCTGGGCTGCTGGGTACACGTGGATTCTCACAGCTCAGGAGATGCTTCTCCTGCAGTGAATAGGGTGAAGGCATGTGAACGTCTCTCCCCTTGGCTCTCTGTAGAGGGGCTGGGTGGGAGCTGGCATGGGCTGGGTGAGGAGCAATCCTGGCGGGGAGCAGGGCCCATGGCATGGCTTTCCCTGCCCATACCCACTTGAGCCCCGTTGAGAGATGCTCGGGCAGCTGTCTGATCTCTGGGCAGTTCTGCTGTGTGGGACCAGGCTTGTGTTTGTCCGTGATTACAGGCAATTTGTCTTGATTGCAAACACGGCTGTTTGCCTGCCCCAGTCTGTTTGCCCTGGCTATGTCCAGTCTTGAAAACTAGATAACGTCAGAGCAGAAGGGAAGGTTTCTATTTCTGTCTCCTTGTATCTGCATCCCAGCACATCCCTGCTGCCACAGAAGTCCTGCAGCCAACACTGCATGGCAGGGAAAGGGGTTCCTCTTCCCAGTAATCCCAGGGGCTTCCTTGAGAAAGGAAGACCTTGCAACCTATAAAATCTGAATATTTGTAATTTCTTGAAATGTCACTTCTGGGCTAAATTGAGAACCAGACCAGAAATGAAATGTACAGCTGCCTAATTAACCATGTCTTTTCCCTTCTTTTCCATCATGGCATCAGAATTTTTTGATGATTATTCAGAGGGGCGAGAATGTGTCAACTGTGGGGCCATGTCCACCCCACTCTGGAGGAGAGATGGCACGGGGCACTACCTCTGCAATGCTTGCGGGCTCTACCACAAGATGAACGGCATCAACCGGCCCTTGTTCAAACCTCAGAGGAGGCTGGTAAGTCAAGATCACACAACGCATGTGGGGAAAGGCTGAGTGCGAGGATGAGGCAAAAAGACTTCAGCTTGGTGGAAATGCCAGGGGTGTTTCAGTTCCTTGGGTCCCCATCTGCCCAACCTAGGTGGTTTTGGTTCAAATTTCCAAAATAAGACAGATTGTCTTGTGTTTGGTACACTCCAAGTCCTTGTACTGTCCAGCCCAGTTGTGCAGACACCCAGATCAGGCAGTGGAGGGGGCTGTAGGACACAGGGGCAGTACCGTGGTGTTGGTTAAACAAAAGCTAGTCTTTGATTTATTATCCCTGCAGGCATATTAGGGTAAATGGAAACCCTTTTCAGCTCCACCACGTTACCAGTCCATCTCCTCTTATCCTCAGGGTCCTTATTCCCCAGTCAGTGCCGGGTGACCCCTCTCACTTCATGGTGACTCGCCACCTTTTCTCATCCTGCTCCCAGCAGTGTTGGGTGAGCTGAAGCAGAGCTTGTGGAGCAAGCCAGGGCATCCCAAAAGCTATGGGGTGAGGATGGGGTATGCATGAGGAACCAGGCAGATGGGAATATCTGGGTGTTGATATCCTGCCTGTCCCTGCCTGTTTTGGTGAGGGGTTTTTGGAAGGTCTCTATAGTCTGTGCCCCAGCCAGAAAGGAGCCAGCAAGCCATCCCTGAGGGCCCTGTTTCCTCACTCCTTGTCTTCCACGAGGATCCATCCCCAACCTGCCCTGCCCTTCGCATCGCCCAGACCTGTCTGTGCTCTAACCCAGCCGTCCCTTGCAAGTGTCAAAAATGACACTAGCAGCTTGAGCATGGCCACCAGCCACGGCCACCCAGCGCCCTCTTGTGAAAACCCCTTCCTAGACACTGCATTGAGCAAGGCAGTGTCTGCACCCTGGCACCCAGCCCCTTGCCCTCTTTCATTTACTGGTCTACATGTTATCCTTGGGCACATCTGTGCAGTCAGGAATGGCCCGTGGGGTACCAGGCTTGGTCCTTTACAGCAGGCAGCAATATATCCTGTTAGCTCTGCACAGCCTTGGGGTAAGGTTTGGAAAAGCCCCTGAGAAAAATAAATGCATGAGCTGTGCAGATCTGTGCGTGCACTTTTGTCACTTGGCTGGGCAGCTGGCAATCTGGAAATCTTGCAAAAATGGCCAAATTCCTGGTTTTTCTTCTAGAAGAGAATTTCCATGAAGAAAAGGAGGACATGTCTCAGGATGCAGTGTAGGGTGTGGTTAAGTAATGCCAACTGGTCTATGTAAATAAATATATTCCGTACAAGTGATTTGGTTTAATTTGTCACTGTGTAACCCTTTTTTTTTTTTGAGACTGAGATATGCCAGAGATACACAAGGGGAGATCTTTGCCTTTGCTGCAAGCTCTCTTTTAAGCTCTTGGTCCACTTACAAAGGCTGATGATTGAAATGAACACATGGTGAGGTTACAACTAAAGGAGAGTTTGGTTTCTCTGCACCAAACGGGCTTCCAGCTTTTGAAGTCTTAAGAATTACTTGAATTTCAGTTTTGATTGTCCTCCTGCCGTAGATTAACTGATACTGTTTTACAGTGAGGGAGAAGACGTGGAGGGAAAGCTATGGCAAAGATCAGAGAGGAAATCCTTGGTAGCAGAGTTCTCATCTCCCAGGCTTTCACCCCATTACAGCTGCCAGCTATGCTGTTCAGGTCTGCAGAGCTGGGTAGATGTCCAAGACCACCAGATTTCCTCCCTATAGACTCCTCTTCATGCACTGTGAGAACAGACATCTTCGCACAGCTTTGTTCACAGTCCCCAGTCTACCACCAAGCAAAGAGAGAATATGACCCCATCCCATCCAAACTTTATTCTTGGCCTCTTAAGACCTGAGCTTTGAAGGATACTGGGGGGCATGGATGATCTGGCTTTTTCTTCCTCCACCTCCCACTCTGCTTCCAAGCTCAAAACTTGTATTTTATATGGTTTCAAGCCCATTGTCTTCCTCCTGTGGCCTTTTGAGTCTGGCTAAACCAGTTCACCCAGAAAGAGAACTTCAAAAGGTCTGTTCCCTGCACTGCTTTGTTAGTGGGGATTCCTGTCTTTATCTTTAGGGAGATGCTGCTGCTGGAAGCACTCTTTTCTTATCTCCCCCTCAAGTCACACAAGCAACATCATGCAAAGCCAGCAATGAGTATGTAACATTCATGGCATCGATAACATCTTCCTGGGAAATGTCATGATGATTGGAAGGTGAAGGGCTCGGGAGCCTGAAAGGGCAGGACGGTCGGTGATCCAGACACCTTAGTGTAGGCATGTGCACGTGCAGTGGGTCTCTCAGCTGCTACTAGACTCATTGGAGATCACTGTTCAGAGGATGTTTCTGGCATTCTGAGATGCCCCAGGACAGCTGAGGTGTCTGCTCAGTGCCGGCAGGCAGGTGGCAGTGGAAAGGCAGTGGAGCAGAAGCTGAAAGGCAAGAGAGGAAGAAAAACGCTGTTGTGTTATCCACTGTAGCAAGGAAAGAAGAGAAAAAGACAGAGAAACAAGAGAGGCAAGGGGAGAGGAAAAAACGAGGTGTGCTGGAGTGAGCTTGTTGGGATCTGAGCCGTTCCTGGTGGGAGCAGTGGAGGGCTGATGTGTTTTTTCTTCCTCTACATTTTCTCGCAGTCGGCTTCCCGCCGTGTTGGCCTCTCTTGTGCCAACTGCCACACAACGACAACCACGCTCTGGCGCAGAAACGCCGAGGGAGAGCCCGTCTGTAACGCCTGCGGACTCTACATGAAGCTCCATGGGGTAATGCCTTCATCGATCTCTCTGTGGGGAGGGTATTGATAGCATCAAGTTGGGGATCGGCTTTGTGGCACAATTCTGTGTTTTCCTGGAGCTGTTTTTCCTGTGGGCTTTAGTCCCCCTCAACATTACATTGTGTTTGTACTGGCAAGGGGTGATGGATGCAGGGCCTTTCTCACATACTAATTTGCTACCTTTTGCATCCAAGTCTTAAAACTCAAAAAACCAAGACCCAGACTCTTCTCACCTAAATTCAGGCACTTCAGTGAAAAACCTGAGTCAGAAGCACAGAGAAGGGCTGAGCTCCTCCACACATCCCGGTCACATCCCAGCTAAGACTTGTCATGTGACTGATAGATGATTTTTCTCGCATGGGTGGCCAGATAGTCTCTTCCTGTCAGTGGGGGCTTCATGTATCTACGTCATGTCTGGTATATCTAGAAGAGCCCTGTTGGAGTCCAAGACATAGCAGGACTTCAAGATGCCCATTAGTCAATGGCAACGGGGCCACCCCTGTGGCAGCCACAGAGGCCTTCAACACCCTGCCTACTGCTTAGTAGCAAACCCCAGTCCCTCTTCTCATTGCTACTCCCTGGGTTTTTGTACACATCCCTGATCTCAAAGATGTCCAGTGCTTCAGTGGATGGAAGAGCATTTATGAGAGACAGCTCAAAGCTGGAAGCCAAGTTGGATGAGGTGAAGCCTTATCTAACCCTACAAATTCTTCCTAGAAATCCCAGAGTGTTTCTGACCATGAGGGTCAGAGGGATCTGTTCCTAAGGGAGGTCTCCCCACACAGACTTGGTACCTTTCCAGAGAGTGGGCATTAGTCAGAAAGATGTTTTCTGCTCTCGGTTAAACAGGAAAGTAAATCATATGAGCTGTTGTTCCCTTCTGGCCTTAAAACATTCTATATCTATGGTGTGAAAACCCTATATATTCCCATGTGGATCCACATCTTGTAGCTTTGAAATATCTCTTCGCACAGCAGTGCTGAGCAGTGACTTTGGGTTCCATCATGTTGCTTTGAATTAAACCAGTTAGTTTTCATGGACCCTACGAGGTAGAGCTGGAACCATGTTCTCCTAGATGACCTTATGGCCATACAGAAACTAATGTGCTTTTATATTTGGTTCTGTAGGTTCCAAGGCCTTTAGCAATGAGAAAAGAGGGCATTCAGACAAGGAAGCGCAAGCCGAAGAACCTTAACAAAACAAAGACACCAGCAGGTGAGTGTTGAAGGAGGGAGTTGATTGTATATGTGTATGTGTGTGCACTTGTGTTTCTGACCATTATGTCCTGTGAGTCAGACACCCAACAAAACGGGCTGATTCTTCGTAAATGGGGATGTCTGAATGTCTTTCAGCAGTAACAAAGCCCTTCCCAATATTTTTCTTTTTTAAATTTCTTTTTATCTGCACTAACTTTGGGTGGATGGGTACAGCTCCGTACTGAAAGTTCTTTGGGAAGAGCCCGGTTTACTGTCTGCTTTCTTACAGGTCCTTCCAGCAGCGAGAGTCTTACCCCGACCACCAGCTCCACCAGCAGCAGCAGCAGTGCCACAACCACCGAGGAAATGCGCCCCATAAAAACAGAACCTGGGCTCTCATCTCATTACGGGCATGTCAGTCCCATTTCTCAGGTACAGAGGGGACATGCTGGCAGTGGAACAAAGATGGGAACTAGGATGGTAGATACGGTGAAAAGAACATCCTCAAAACCTCTGTGGAAAAAGGCTGCCTCTTTTCAACCCGAGGGTCTAGGAGTTCACAGTAAGATCTGTCCTCTGGGATGGGGCAAAATCCTACATTATTTTCACCATGCCTACAGCACAATACGGTTTTTCAATGACGTGTGGCAGTTCTAAATGGGCAAGAAGTAGCAGCTTTGCTGAAAACATGAAATTTCTTCTAGCTGGGCAGCTATATAGGTCCCATAGCAAGAAAATGCCCGTTCCCTTTTTATGATTTGATTTCATTTGTCTTGAACAATGAAAAACTTGGCATTACCCTACTTTCCCTGCATGGGCTGGCTGTGTGTTGAGTGATATGAGAAATGTGAGGAGAACATCTCACACAAATCTAACCGAGTCCCCGCAAAGGTAAAGCAAGCCAGCATGATGGAAGAGAGCTGCGGGGTAAAGCAGTGTGCTCTGTACCATACCCACCACTGGTCTTGGGACCAACACTGCATCCACACAAGGTGCGTATCCTGCAGAGCAACACCCAGATCTGGAAGCTGATCTGTGTGCAGGTTTAATAACTGTGCCTTGGTTAATGATCCCCATCACACAGCACAACTAAGAGACAGTGGTATATGATAGCTGCTCTCCTTTTGGGTTCATACAGGGAACTCTAGTTTTCTCCCTGGAGAAAAAATACATGGTTGAGTGTTGTGCTGGACTCATCCTGCAGTGCTTTGCAGCACTGTTAATGTGTTCTGCAATCCATAGGAGTCCATTTGAAAGCTAGGAGAGCTCAAGGCCAATGAAATCTCAAGCCTTGGCAGGTAAAATGATAGTTTCTGACATTTGGAAGAGAACAAGATGCCCTGTACGCAGTAGTAGGAAAGAACAGGGTCTAAACCAAGCAGGAAAGAGCCTGTCCAAAGTATCTGCATAAGCTGCAATCTGCAGCTCTACAGCAAATCTCCAGATGTGTCATTACAATAGCACCAGTCCCCCATAAAGCGGTCCATATGGTCCTCTATGGTTTGAAGCTTTGTTCACAGAATTTTCCTGTTTCCATAGGCATTCTCAGTCTCTGCCATGTCCGGACACGGATCCTCTATTCATCCTGCGATTTCAGCTCTGAAGCTTTCCCCGCAGGCTTACCAGTCTCCACAAACCAGCTCCAAACAGGACTCCTGGAACAGCCTGGTGTTAGCTGAAAACCACGGGGACATCATAACCGCATAACCTGGTCTTCCACCCATGAACTTCAGGCTGATCTGCTTAAGAGATGAAGAAGATGCCATGTAATCATCAAGCCAATGTTGTTTCCCACCTCCCCTGCTCTCCTGCCTTCTCTCCCCTTGTGAGATGTTCCAGCAAAGAGGTAAAGAGGATTTATCTGAGGTGTAGGAGAGTTCTTATGAAGCAGAGAAGACTCAAATCTCGAAGTAACTCATGGATTTGAAGCCTTTTTCCCCCACTTTAAATGAGCCTTTCTATTTGATTGTCACCACCTTCTATGAAATAGCCAGAAACACGAAGATGGAGACAATTCTTGAGTTTTGTTTATTTAAAAAATATCTGGCATTTAAGACTCAGGCAATGGTGGAGCAGAGACACTTTTTTTCTTCTGTCACCATCCATTCTTTTCCTGACCAGAAGAAAATGCCACCATCTTCTCATTACCCAAATTCAGTGATCTTCCACCAAACGGAGCCAGTTCCAGAAACACTTTGTTGAACAGACTTCACCAGACCTGCTGTGGTGGCTTTAGTGGATTTGATATGGTCTAGGGCAGAGAAAAAAAAGAGACCCTCCCACACACATTCTCAGCTCACACATCTAGAGCATTGTCTTCATTTTGCTAGATGGTCTGAAAAGCTAATGAATGTCTGTATTTAATAGTAACTCCTTTCCTATTTATCATCACAAAATCGTGGGACTGTGTTCCCAAAAGGTTGTTGGCTGAGCCTGGAGGAGGTTTGTCCAAAGTCAAAAGGGGATTTTGGAAGGAGGAACCTTCTGGAAGCAGGTAGAGGAGACCCACGTTGGTCACAAAATCCTGGAGTAAATTGCTGGGCTCTTCCCTTATGGATATCTACAAGCCAGGCTTAGAGATTATTCAAGAGAACAGCAAGCGAAAGATGCTCTTCTAACACTGCTGTCCCATTGCTTTTGAGACAGTTAATTTAATTATTTTGCATACTTTTATGTTGGTTTTGATGTCATTGATGAAATCGGATTGTTGTTTATTTTTGGCTGTACTGTGAGTGCCCACTTCCCCCCTAACAGCTGGCTCATGACCATTTCATACATCTAACCCTTTAGGATTTCACTTTTTGCAACAAGCAAAGGCTTCAGCCTCTAATGGAGGTAGGCAGGGGCCATTTTCTTTACCAAGCACGTGCATAGACTTGCTTGCCTGCAAGAGAAGCATAATTCCATTCATGCATGAGTATTACAAAAAACTCGGGTTTTTTTCTTGCCCATAAGTCTCTCAGCAACCAGAGAATTTTAGCAAATGGAGCTGGAAGAGATGCTGAGAGCTCACGGACTCATTCCCTTCTCCCAAAGGGATCAATTCTACCTATCCTAGCCCTGACTGCTCTTTCTCTAGCATGTGCTTAGCAAACTCCAGCATCGCAGATGCCACAGCTCCCCTGTGCAGTCTAAGTGCTTCAGCAGACGACATTTTCATCAACATTTCTGAGGAGCGACAGCTTTCCCTGTTTGAGGCAGAGAATTTCTGGGAGACCTCATCCTACAAGACTGTCCGCTTTTGTTTCTGTCCACTCCCAAACTGTTACTCCTCTTGCCTTCCCAGAGCTTCTCCTTTCCTCCCTGCATCCAGAACTACCAAGTGAAAAGTCCCGAAGAGGGATTTTGCATCCCTCCCAAATGTGCCATCCTCTGTCTCCCACTGTTTAACACTCTCACGAAGAGTGCTTCCACCCAAACACCGAGACAAATGGCTTGGCGAAGAGAAAAGCCACATACATGTTTGAAGCAAAAGAATGACATTGCATTGTCTTTGTTTGAACTCACCATTTTCCTCCTGATGGTAGAAAAGAAAAGCTTCTTTAAGGAGAAGGATTCAACTGGACTGGTTGTGATAAAGACTGGGACTGGAGTCACAGTAGAGACCTGCACCTTTCCACATTCCCCATGCTCTATGTAACTCAGATTTTCAGGGTTTTGGAGGGGTGACAGAGCCTTTGCACTCCTCAGAGAAAAACACCATGGCAGTGATGCCATGGGAATGGCTGGGTGGTGTTTGCACCTGAGTTTCCACTCTGCCTTACTGAGCCAATGTAGGGTCTAGCTTCATTAGCGTTAATTACAGACAAAGAAAAAAAAAAAAAAGAAAAAAAGACATTCATGAAACATGAATGAAAATAAATAAATTTCTGTGATTCTGCTCAGGCCTGGTAGGCTGCAGAGAAGAGGCCAGAAATAGCACCTAAAAGTATGAATTTGGGGTGAAAACATAAAGGTGTTTCTTCCCGAGCATGCAGGTCTTCAGCCAGCCTCCTCCTTGAACTATATTCCTTTGTAAATGGCAGTTGAGCTCTCTTGGGATCTTGCTGTGAACTCCTGTCTGTAACAGGCACCACAAAGATGCCACTTGGCTAATGCCTACATCTGAGATACCAAGAACTACCCCGGACAACCTGAGAGGGAGGGAGGCCGGTGGCCTCCTGGAGAGGAGCTAAAGTCCAGACCAAGGACATGCCCCATTTCTCTTTCCATATGGGTCCTCCCCGAGGCTCTGTCCACCTTGCCGTATTACTGTGCTCCTCCTACTGCCCTCAAAGCTAAACTCCCTGGCTGAATTTTTATCCTGCCCTTAAAACACACTCTGAGATGCCATAAAGGACTCTGCTTGCAATGCATGAGGAGAAAACCCGTGCAGGACATAAGCCTGTCTTATGTTCTCTCAGGTTATCTAAATGATCATGGTAGAGATTTGTTAACTGGTTCTCAGCCTTCCACAAAGCATTAAAAATAATTCTTGAAACACAGTGAAGATTATTTTCAAGGATTCTGATAACAGAAAAAGATGTCCACATCAAGAAGGTGAGGCTCTGGCAGCTGTGAGGACAGCTTGGCTCTCTTTAATGGTAGAAATTAGTTCTTTTGTCCCCCTGTTTGTACCACAAGCGGTAGAAATTCAGATATGCCTGGATCTGTTCTTCTTTTCAATCACCCAAATCTGTTGTGGAGCTATTGACCACCCTCATGGTGGAAATGTTTTTCCAAATAAACTTTAGATTAAAATGAGAGGCAAAATCATTGGCAAATTAATTGCTCAGACTTGGGGAATCCCAAGCAATGAATCACTGCAGGAGAGCGAACGTTGTCTCCAAGACCAGGAGTCACACAGAGCCCCTTGTAGGTAGGAACTGGGATGGCCAACGCACGATGGCAAACACCAGAAGTGACAGATGAAGGGCTACTCACAGGACGAGATGATTAAAGTGCCACCAGTTTCAGGACACTCAGCTTATTCTAGCAGGAGGGCAACTTACAAAATTCTGGGTTCCATCTGCGCTCTGCTTTCCTTCCCACGATGGCGGAAGGCATTTAGAGCCTGTTTGGCTAATGAAATTAGATACAATTATTAGGCAAGATTATTATTGCTATTACTATTGCTATAATTTATTTCATTGCAGCGTGGCTGGAGAACCGAGTGAGCACCGTACCAGGCCAGGTCCTACACAAATGCAGGACCAAAAACTATCCCTGCCCTGAGGAGTAAGAGGGAAGGGCCCAGTTCTGCAAAACACTTAAGCACATACACCAATGCGTTTGTGATTTTTTCCCTTAGAGGCCATAACTAAATCACACATGCAAATTCTGACGTTGAAGGGTTTGCAGCACAAGATTTGGTTGGGCCAAGCCAAATCTTTGCATGGTTCAGTGGTCACCGGAGTGAAATGAGTGGACGAGAACCAGGATGGGGAGCCAGAGGGGTAGAAAGGTAATTAAACCATTTCTAAATATCTTCCCTCTTTGTGGAAGCGCAGTATCTTGAATCACTTCAGTTCTTTTGTAAACGGATCAGAAGAGATCCATATTTCGTTTGCAATCTTATGGGCTGACTGGAGAGGTCAATCAGAAGGAGCTCAGGAATATTGTAAGGGAGCTTTAAAACCAATCAACAACTCTTTAATGTAACATTGAAGGGGTGGTGTTTTCTTTTGTTTTATTTCTCTCCACGTATAAAGTTTGAAGCTTCCCAGGATATCTGGGAAGGTCCCATGGAAACAGACACTTATTTGTAAGTGGGAGAGGGAAACCAACCAACTGAACAAGCTGTAATTATTTAAAGATGTAAAAAAATATCTATTATGAAGTAGTATGGCTACCAATCCACTTAACTTCTACACCTTTAGAACTAATGGAAATAAAACAATGATAATAAAACCAGAAGTCTGCTGCTTGACTCTGACTACGCTCGTCGGCTTCTTGGAGAAGTCTGGGGGTAAAGGGTCACATATGAAGTGCACCTGAAGAAGCAATGGTGCGATGGCTCCTTGTTATGGAGGTATATCAAAGCATATAGGAGTACAGGTGGCCATCAGAGCACACCCATCACTAGATCAGGGAGTGCGGGGACAAAAGATGTTCAGCATGAGCCTGGGACAGTGGTGAGAAGGTGATAACAGCCCCTCTTGTAGCAATTTTGGATGGAGGGTCATGAATAGCTAGTGTTGCTGCATAGGCCGCCTTGCATTAAGGCCTCTTGGGCTGGTGGGTATAGGATATATCTATATATATCTAGATCTAGATGTATCTATATCCTTGCACCCAATTTCTGTTTGGCAGACCCAGAGCAGGGATTCTCCTGCCAGGCATGTCTTCTCTTTCCCATCATACCAGCTAGGTGCATCGGTGTGTCTGGCCCACGCATAATTTAGTGGACAGCTGAATGAGTTGTTGCACGCATTGGGGCATTCATTATTATCTCTGCCAGGATATTTGACACACGAAGAGGCATTTAGTGGTTTGGAGTATATCAGGGAGTGATCATCAACATTTCACAGGGAAACACGTTTGCTGGTTCCCCACAGAACTTCAGGGCAGGGTGTAGTGCCATTGGGGATCCACCCTGTGGCCTTGTGGTTTGGGTGGAGAATGTAATTACACTCATCATCCCATACCGAGCCAGCATTTATTATGCCTGGTGACTAATTGTAACCAATACAGGTGTAGCTTGCATCTGCTTTGTCACCCTGAAATCT